TTTTTGATTGTGAAAAATGTAATAATCAATAGTTTTTTTTTTTTAATCGGAAGATATTTTATTCAACAATTAATTAATACATTATAATTTAATTTCAACTTAACTATAAACTTATTTTCTACACGTCAAATATTTTCACCCTAATTCAAAAATTTGAATCCATTGTTAAAAATTTGAGTTTTTTTTTTTTTTTTTAGACGAAAACTTTAATTTCGAAATTACGGAAAAATTATTTGTTATCAAGAGAAATTATTATGAGATACTTTTTTTTAGCAATTAAATTTTTAGCAATTTCTTTTCCAGATCTTTTTTTTATACAGTTAATAATTTCACCGCGATTTCGAAATCAAGAATTTCGTAATCATAAAAAATTTTAATCATTTATTACGATTATTATTTTGAAGTCCTGGAAAAAATATAACTTTATTTAAGCTATTTTTATCTTTACAATGAAAAAAATGACTTGGTTTTGACACCTTATCATGTCACTGAATCGAATACCCCGCGCGTTGCCTCGGATAGCCCAACTGGTAAAGTTTCGGGCGCGTGACCATTTGAACCGGGTTCGAGTCCCGGTCTAGACTGTTCCGAAGTATTTTTTTTTATTTTATTGTCCGTGACAGTAGCGTAAAATCACCGTATTTCGACAGTATATTGAGCGTACAGTATCGGTCATAACATCGTAGATTCACTTGCGTATACACCGTATATATTCAATAAATTAATAGTAGACATCGTTCACAACGGTATCCGATGCTGACTGATAGATCGCTCGGTAAGAACGAACTTTATACGGTGAAACGACCGTGAAACAACTGTCAAGCGACCGTGCTGCGACCGTGCTTTCACCGTGCTGCTGAAACCGCCAGGGTATTCAAGGCCGATTCTGTATACATCTCAATCTTGAGTTTTATCGGAATTTAAACACGGAAATTTAAGGTAGTTGTAGCGTGAAAGCCATTTCAACAGAAAGTTATGAAATTTTTTTTATCGAAAGATAAATATATTAATAATTCACTACCAAAATTTTAGATCAATTGACCGCACCGTTTTTGAGTAATTAATTTTCGAAATTGCATCTTTTACACATAGAGGTATAGAGAGATGGTAAAGTTAGTATGAAATCTTCCGTACCACGCGAGTGGGCCAAAGATTTCATAGTATATTAGTAATAGTATATTACATACCTAGGCCAGTAAAATAAGAAAAGTCTCAGACCACATGTAATTGTTGGCCGAGGCGAAGCCGAGGTTGACAAACATGTGGTCTGAGGCTTTACTTTTTACTGGCCAAGGTGTGTATACTATTTTTCTGCTCGACGTAGCCGGAATGTGGCAACTTTGTTTAGCGCAGCGGCCAGAAAGTTGCCACTTTCCGGCCGGAGGGCAGAAAAAAGTAAAGCCTCAGACCACATGTTTGTCAACCTCGGCTTCGCCTCGGCCAACAATTACATGTGGTCTGAGACTTTTCTTATTTTACTGGCCTAGGTATGTAATATACTATTTAGTTAATAATCGACGGCTAAGAAAGATTGAAATTAAATGATTAGAAGCTTGTAGAGTACATGTACCTATTATTTTATAAACATTGCTTGACTAGCTGTCAAAATATAAAAGAAAGCAAATAAAGTCCACAAAACTCTTATATTTTATTTTATATAAACTTTTTATATGAATCATTTATGTAGTGTTATTATTAAATAGTTCATTAATAATAATCTAGTTATAAATTATTTTTTCTCACCTTCGGACGGAAAGCGTCAATTTTCCTCCCGCTGCGCTAAACGAAAATGCCGCTTTCCGCCTCCGTCGAGGAGAAAAATAGTATACACACCACAGGCAGTAAATAAGAAAGCCTCAGATCACATGTTTATTGACCTCGGCTTCGCCTCGGACAACAATTACATGTGATCTGAGACATTTCTTATTTTACTGCCCTAGATGTGTATTATACTATTTATTTTTTTGACACTTTCTGGTTAGTTTATGCACTGACATGTTACATACAGACGATGTTGTGATGTTGTGACTGTTAGACAGTTGAAACTCACGCCACGAAAATATGAAAAGAAGCGAGGTTCTGTGCTGCCCGGCCAGAAAATATGCGTAGCGCGCATGCGCCAAAACAAGCCACAAATGTTGCTCTTTCTGGAGTAAAATGCGTCCAGAAAGAGCGTACTTTCGGGTAGGAGAGCAAGAAAAGTATATTTTCGGGATAAACCGAAGCAATTAAATTTATTACTGTGCCTCTAATTTTTAAAAAGGGCCAATCTTATTGCAGATTGATGTTCCTATTTATACTAGCCAATTTATCGTACTTGATTAATTTTAGAATTCGATGTACAAAGAGGCCAAAATTTTGATTTCAAATTTGGTTGTCTCTTACGAAAATAATAATATATTTTTGATCTAAATTGTAAAATTTCTTGTTAAAAAAGCGAGCTTGTCTTCAAGACAAGAAATTTTTGAATCAATCAAAAAAAGAACAATTTTTTAGGACCAACAATTTTTTTTTAAGTTTTTTGAGATGGCCCGAACACCTTCGTTATCTTTACACCATTAAACACAATGCTAGTTCTTGATAAATAGGTACTATAGAAACAATGTTTCACACATTCTACTCCTATCCCGCTTAGCCTAAATTATAAATATCCGCAGCGACACTCTAGAGAAAAAGCTGTCAATTATTCATAACTTTCTTTTTTATCTACATAATTATTACTGTCCAAGTTTACCATAACACAAACCTCAGAAAACATGCAATAATATTAAATCCATATTTCTTCACTAGCCCTTTCTTTATACTCTGAAGACCGGCCGTCTGTCTTGGCGAAATGTTTCAGGATACGATGCTCAATATTAAATATAAAGTACTTACGGTGATCGGCCGATCATTAGGCTATGATAGCTGTTTGATCCTCGAGCATCGGTTGAGGATCAGAATCTGTATAGGAGCAAGACTCACTGAGCATCGGATGTTAACATCAGCCCGAGACTGCCGATTGAGCATCGGCCGAGGATAGTAACCGAGCATAAGCCGAGAATAGTTATCGAGCATCAGCCGAGGACAGTAACCGAGTATCGGCCGATCATAGTATACAAGGATTATCCTATTGTAGCTGCCGAGGATCGGCCTATCATAGTAATTCAGTCTCGGCCAAGGATATCGGCCGACTGATGATCAAGCGCGGTTAAAATGAAATTTCCAAAATAATTACATAATACAAATATTTACAGAAGAAAGTATATATTTTAGAATAGAAATATAAAAATTAAATAGAACAAGTTTTTGAATCTTAAATAATATCATCATAGTATGTAGTAGTAATAATTGTTATAATCATAATAGTAGTAATAATCGTTATAATCATAAAGTAGTAATAATAGTTAGAATGATAATGGTGATAATAATGAAAAATTTTCTTAAACTTTATAATTCACGCCTGTTTTCGCTTACTGCCATCTCTGTCCCCAAAGTTTGCCAAAAATGACCCAACGCTCGATCTCAAATTTTTAGTTTGGTCCGAGTCACCGAATTTTTTTTGTATAATATCTGAAATTTATAATATGTTTTGTAAATAAATAAATACATCGTGGAACAAATGCTAAAAGAGCGTATAAAAAAAGTTTTTTTTTCTCATTTAAATGAAAATCGTTGAAAACGTCAAGATCAACTTAAAATATTTTTTTTTTTAATTACTAACATCAAAAAAGTATTAAAAATTTTTTATCTTATTAAAAAACATTGGCAAAAAGCTCTAAGAGTAAAGCTAGATCAAAATGATATTGAAAAATATGAAAATCAACTGTAGCATAAAATTACACAATGGATTCATGCAAAATAAGATGGCACAAATAATTTATACACCGTTTTGTCATTTGTCACGCGTAATATTACAGAATTTGAAAACATAATTAAATAAAACTAACCTGATAAACAAACATATGTTTTAGTTGCACTAAAATTTAGTTTGCCCTCACCACAAATCATTCGACCAGCTCCAGAGTAGAACTGTTGTACTTTTGTAGTAATAACTTCAGACAGTGTCTTTCGAACGCAAGTATTAACATCTTTCTCACCATAAGTTAATACTTCAAATAAGTTTTTTAAATTACTCTTTTCATTTTCATCATCTAAAATTTATCATCAAATTTTTTAAAGCTTCCAAGGTTATCAAAAGGAAATATTTCTTTATAAATTTCTCTGGCTTCACTCAATGTCTTGTTAGGAGCCTTACTTGATGCAGAATTCATGATAACTTGTGTTTTTATATTGCCGCCTTGCTTCTGTACTTCATATAGAAGACTGAACTTCATTTTATCTAGCTTTTTAGATATTTCAGTGAATTTAAATTCAATATATTCTTTAGATAAACCTGAAATTATAACCAATAGAATATCAGTTAACGTAAATAGACGATGTGATAAATTTTCAATAATCCAGTATACCAGAAAAGTATCAAAGTAAACAAAATTACAAAATTTATAGAACATTTTAAGAAAAATACCTAAGATTAATCAACTTATGAACATAAAGTTAACCGACATCTAAAAATTTTTATAATTTTTTTTATTAAAAAAATTATTAAAAAAAAATTTTCATTTGTAAAAAAGTTCAAAAACTATAAGTGCAATTATTTTAAATTAAAATATTTTTAGTTCTAATTTAATAAAGTAAGCAAAATAAAAAAATCAAAAATGTCGGCTAACGTCATGACAAAAATCGACTTGTCTAATTTAATACATTATAAATTTAAATAACAAACAATAAGTAAAGAAATTAAATCAAAAACTAATGATTAACACTTACCACAATTGCTACAAGCACCGTCGTATATCATGTTTGCATTTATCTCAGGTAATCTTTTGGAGCCATCTGAAGAATAAATACCATAATTAAATAAGTTTTAACAAACAAATTAGAAATTAAAATAATAATAATAATAAATATTAGTGTACTTTTAAGTTTTTCTGACTTGTTATTGAGAGCAGCTCGAGATAAATTATTATTTTCAAATAACGACGAAGACACTGAGTCAGTATCATTAAGATAGTCGTTCAAAACCTGAGATGTACCACTGGCTAGATCTACATTAAACCAAAATTTTAATCAATTATGACATATTATTTAAATTTTTTTAAAAATAAATTCAAAACTGTATATTAACGTTTCCAAGACAAACACATTTGATTTAATTTAATGAATTGAAAACGATTAATATTAATAGGTAAACAAAAAAATTATTATCAAAGAACATTCGATTAATCAATAAATTTTAGTACACCAGGTTATAAAGTAATATATTTATTGCATAATTATGAATATACCTTTTTTTTTTTGATGATTTTTTGGGTCGATTTTTTTCAGTGACAATACTCTTTGGATCATTTCTTGATAAAACTAAATTCATACCCTCTATATCATCTAATTCTCGACTTATACCTGCAGATGACAGTTGTTGAACAGTCGGGGAAGTAGCTCGTCCTGGGTCGTCAGTGTTGACATTTATCGTGGTTTCGGCACGTAGTAAGTGCCGCTTTCCTTTTTCTAAAGTATCTGTAAATAAATTATATATTATATATTATGCATAAAACCATAGTTAGAAAAAAATCAATAGCAAATGATCAATTTACCAGTAGAAGAAATTATTTCGACTTCACAAAGTATCCAGCTTTTCTTTGGTAGAGAATTTTTCTCTAAATATTTCTCCCTTTTTTTTAAATTTTTTTTTGTATTCGGATAATAGCAGTATACTTTTTCATCAATGGTGTCAAGCCATGAATAGGGGACCAAATCAATCTCATCATAACCAGAACCTCGTCGTGGTAAAAAACACACAACTGCATATTGACTTGGTCCTTCGATATCGGAATTATTATCACTCATCTAATAACCAAAATATTAATATTCATGAATAAAATTAAAGTAAAACTAACCTATCAAATGAATTCAAAAGAAATGAACGAGAAATTTATCAATTACACTTAAATCGCGCAAAATAATTGTTTATTTATCCGAAAAATAACATAATTTAGTAATAATAAATTTAAATAAATAAAATAGAATAAAATTTTAATGATTTTTAAGTTGTTAAATTGAAAATACTTACATTGAACGTTAATTTAAAAAATTCTTTCATTGTTTCACGTGTTTACGCTCACGTGCTACACTTGATTTGAAAGTCTTAACAATAGCAGAGCAGACGCGCACACATAGACGCAACTAACTTTTTACTCACGCACACACAATATTGCCGCACCTAAAATTCAGCCTATACAGTATACATAAACACAGTTAGTCAGTCAATTCGAGTTTGCCATGGATATACGCACACAACTGCAACTACTTTTTATAGTACACTTGTAGCAGCAACTAACTCTTTACGCGGGAACACACACACACACACACACACACACACACACACACACTAATGCTTTATCTATAATCCATATATATACATATATTAAACCAACGCTGACACGCGGTATTTTTTCAAATCCATCGATGGATAATATCATACATATACAGTCAAAACCATTTACAGCGACATCGCTTACAACGACGAACCGGGTATAACGACGAAATTTCAAGGTCCCGTCTTAATGCAATATAAAACCTTCAAGCTTAAAACTGTTTATAACGACATCGCCTATAACGACAAATCGCTCATAACGACCATGGTTGAACCATCTTTCCGAAGAAAAATATCGTTTATAACGTCTAAGACATGCTTTTGCACTTGTATTTAGGTCTGTATTTGTTTTTCAGTAATTATATTTATAACGTCACAAGTTTTTCAACAGTTGAAAAAGACGACGTATCTGGTACAGTTCGGGCAAACGCTCATGCCATCTTTGACAACTTTAGAGATAGACGAGTATATTGAGGTAGACAACGAGGTAGCTGTATGCTCGTCAATGAGTGATCGGAAAATGTTAGAGGATATTCAAAATCATGACACGATGGTTGAGAATTAGGATGAACAAGAAAATGATGAACAATTTGTAATACCAACGTCAGGGAAGCACTAATTGCTATTACTGTTTTACAAAAATTTGTGCTTGACGAAGAAGAATTAAGTTTAAGCAATAACAATGAAATATTGCATAAAATGTATTAACAAATTCAAAATTACTGCGTATAGTTTCAGTGCATTAAACAAACTAAAATGATAGATTTCTTATTAAAGTAATTTTTGTATAAATATTCATAATAAGTATTAGTTAACATCATTAACTGTAAGATGATATAACAATGCAATTTTAGTTTAATAAATAGTTGTAATGTATTTTTGAATGCAATGAGAACGTTTTTAATTATTAATAATAGATATTGGTCATAACGACTATCGGCTATAACGACCATAATTCATCGGTCCCTTCAATGTCGTTATAAACGGTTTTCACTGTATAACACTTTTATATACAGATCTACACAATATTATACACATATATACATTATTATTATTATTATTATTTTACAAATGAGTTTATAACTGCGACGATAATAAATCACTCATCAATGTTTCTATTAAAAAAAATATACAGACCAATGAAATTTTTTAATTCATGCTAAAAATTTTCTGATGCTGACATTTTTTTGTAACTGTCAAATTATTCGTGTAATAGAGAGACCGCGCATATTTTATCATCACAATCGAACAATACACATTTATTTTTTATAAATTCTGCTGAATGAATTTCCTGCAATGCCGAAAAATTGTCTCCTAAAAAAATACCAACGTCTTTTGACGGAGTGGGATAATCAAAAAGATTACCAGCATTGAGCATTTGACGTCCGAGAATGTAAATTTCGTTCAACTTCGGTGTTTTTTCTACGTTTGTTTTCGTTGTCAATAGTTGATCAATTATAATCACTTTATTATTTTTTAATAAAATAATATTATCCGGCCGGTTTGAACTTAAATAGTTTTGTTTAATAGTAATACTTGAAACGCTGGAGTATAAATTTCCTTCAAAAACAATATCGGATGAGTTATTTATTTCGCACTTCTCTACACTTTTTATTTTTTTTTATTTTAATTACACTTTCATGTTCCAACTCAGATAGACGATTTAGTATTTGAGTCAACGGTTTGTAAGGTGATTTAATAAGCTTTTTCATTTTTCCAATATAGTTCTCACCCCAAAACGCTGATGATTCACTCAAAGATAAATTTAAATTAAATACATCATCGGGTAAATGTATTAAATTATGCATGTTTAATGTTTGAGAGTTTTTACCGTACAGTGATGGCAATAAAAAAAAAAATTTTCTCAACAATTTCTTAGCGTAATTGTTAAATTTTAGCATAAGATCTTTACAGTGCAAAATTCGACAAGCGACAAATAACAATAAGAAATGTTTATAGACCTGCGTTGGCAAGATGTTTTGCAATACTATTGGACCACAATATAATAACACGAAACGAAACTGTGTCGCTTTCCACCTTGCTAAATCATTCGTATCAAATATTTTTCGTTGAAACTCAGAAGTCACAGAAGGTGTTAACGATAAAAACTTTTCCCTGAGTTTTAATACTGTTTTTATTTTGAGTCGCGCAACACTTGTTCTGAGTATCCGCAAGCATCCATGAGAGTCTTTATTACACCGAGATGTAATAGATGCATAGAATCTAAAATAACTGAGTTTACAGGATCAAAATTAGGCAGTTTTCTTAGGAGTGACTTCAGTCCATCTTTGTGATGACTTTTTTGGGTTTGCTTCTTAAAACTTTCTCTTGTTCTTAATTCACAATCCATTTCTGGATAAACTCTTTTTTTTTCTTTTCTTCTCCCCTACAGACTTTCCTTCGACGGTGCATCTTTCGCACGCATAAAATGTACCTGCTGCTTTACAACATTTAATGTATGATCTTGCTTGAGAATCGGCTACAATAGCGATTATTTTAAAACTATAATTTTTTTCGTCAATGACAATCCCATTGTTAATCAAATTTTTACATTCTACTACAAAATCAGAAAGATATTCTTTAACATTTGGAGGTTTTGAATCACCACAGTATATGGCAGCTACAAACGGATGACTGGTATAATTTCTGTTAAAAATTTTAACTGTAATAGGCCAGACTTGTATATTAGAATTTTTATAAATTTGCATACCGTCAATGTGAATAAGTACTTCAATAGTATTTTCAAGAAATACACGTGATGAAATCATTTTTTTTAATCCATTTGCTACGCCGAGATATTTTTTTAATGTACTTTTTTAATGCCCGATATTTTTTTACACGGTCAGACATGATTTTAGAAACTGAAAAATTATTTTTAATAACAACGATAAATTTATTTTCTATTATAATAGAATAAAAAATTTTAATTACAATATATATATGTAGTAAGGAATGCTTATGTTCTGTTTGATGAAAAGTTTATACAGGTAAATAATACGTAAAAAACAGCTGATGTGATATTTAGTGCGCATGTGCAAAAAACAATTTTTCTCCCCTCCGTGCGGAAAGCGTCAATTTTCTGCTCGCTGCGCTAAACGAAAATGCCGCTTTCCGCCTCCGTCGAGGAGAAAAATAGTATTCTCACCACGGGCAGGAAATAAGAAAGCCTCAGATCACATGTTTGTCGACCTCGGCTTCGCCTCGGTCAACAATTACATGTAATCTGAGACATTTCTTATTTTCCTGCCCCAGGTAAGAAAAATACTATATCATATAATCGTCCGAGAATCGGCTGATGATCGTATATTATTGCTATGAATATAGATGGGCGGCCGATGGTGAGCCGGCCATAGGCTGATAATAGAGCACCGATGCTCGACCGAGCATTGGAAGCCGAGCCTCGGACGATTGTAGATTTTTTTTGAGCATCGGTGACTTCGTATGGGTATATTATTGATATTTTCGTACGAAAACACAGTGTACTTTTTTCTCTAAATATACAGTGTCTATATTAAAAGACTAGATAGTAAATTAATAATAAGTTTGTGTCGAGACGCAACACCCCTCTTGTATTTGGTAAAAGTAGCGTGACGACTATTCTCTCTGGCTGGTGAAATAAGTTGAGAAGGGATCATACGCCTAATTTACAGATAAACAGCGCAGCTTAAATTACAGTGTGTGCTTCGCACGTGAAATTCTATGAAGGGTTCTTTTTATCGTACATATTCCTACCTGACTTGATAAAAATCACCTTATTTAGCCCTTCTATCAGTCAGTTATCACTTTTCTAATATCCAAAACCGATGAAGAAATCGATGTGAATAAATTCATGAATTTTACTTCCAATAACTATATATATTTTTTGTTTTATCCACGTTTTTATGCGATGCGTGAAAAACCAAACTAATTTAAATATGTATTTTCTCTTTATTTTTTACTTTATACTAATTAAAATATATATATATATATATTCTCTTCCGTTATTATACTAGAGTTTTTATATTGAATTTTATGTAAATCTCACATTAAGCGGAGGAATTGATGCATTCAAACATATTATTTGTTTATCATTAATATACACTATTTACTCGTTTAAAAAAAGTAACCAACTAAATTCTGTCACGCAGTACCAATTTTTTTCCGAGTGGTGATATAACAGCTGTATTGATTTAATAAACAAAAAATTTATGTGTCTCTTCTGACCGGAAGGATGTTTTTATTTCTTCTCAAATTTTAAAATTTTCTATCAAAAAATTCGTATTAATAATTAACATATTTTCTTCCTTTTTTTTTCTCTTTTATTTCTTCCTAAATTTTATTTATTTATTTATTATATATTAATATTTATATACATTAAATAACATCTGTAAAGAGAAGATATATTTAAGAGATTTGAGAGAAGAGAAAACTAAAAAAAAACTTTTTTTTAATAATTTATAATCACTATTCGTACACCTGGAATGTTATTTAAGAATCACCCTTATTGCTTCACTTTTTATCTTATCCTTTAAAAATTTTGAAATACTTTATCAAAAAATTTTGATTCATAATTAACATGATAAACTAATAACTTGTAAATCTAATTTTTTTATTTGGTGAAGAAAAGTTATAGATTTGTTATCTTGTTCAAATAATAGTGACAAAAATATAATTTTAAGGGGGTATTCTAGTCTAGAAGCATGAATTTCAGGTAATTTTTTGAAGTGCCGTAAAAAAAAGGCAATCAA